CCCAACTTTGGGTTGCAGTGGTTCTTGCTGCTTTTTATCTCCAGGTGTTTTTATCTTTATTTAGGGCAGGTGCAACCTTCTTTATGAGGCTTTCTTCACCTCTCCAACTGGAAGGAATCTCTATTTTTTGGTGTCTTTTTAATGACAGCTACCTAGCTCTTTTACCACAAATTTAGATGCTTATTTTGATCATTAGGCATCAAACTATTGAAAAATTCAAGAGAGCCTTGTACAGAGTAAGTCTCTTATCCAATTTGAAAAAAATCAGTGACTTTGCATCGGTAATACTACCTATTTGTGTAGTTCATCTTGATGTGTTTTGGAAAATCAGGTGTGCAAAGATTGTGTGTGTGTGTGTGTGTGTATACACACATATATGAGGGGGGTACCTCCCCCATAAAACTGGAACGGTTCTGCGGGGCAGAGCTTTCTTAGTATGTAAGCTGTGCATACTATGCAAGCTGTGCCTCCCAAGGCATGCATTGAGCAACTCACTTCTGAGTTAGTGCACCCAGTGGCATCACCTGGGAAGGTTCTCTCTGGTGGATTTTTTTGGGAAAGCAGTATTCCTTGATTGTCATTGTTTGTGATGGCTGTTTTAAGAGAACAATATAAGGCTGTGAATATTTGTTTCCTGCTTGGGAAAAATGTTGCAGAAACTGCTGTGATGAACACAGCTTACAAGGAGAGCACTGTGGGAAAAACTCAAGTGTACCAGGTGGTTTTCTCATTACAAAACAGGTGAACTGTTGATTGATGACAAAGCTTGTTCTGGATGTCTGTCTACTTCCCAAACAGACAAAAATGTTGACAGAATTTGTGCACTTGGGCTTGAAAATTGACAACAGACCACAAAAGAGGTGGGCAAGTTATCTGGAGTATCTTGGAGGTCGATCCAGCGAAGTTTGATGGAAGATTTGGCAATTTGAAGCATTACTGTGAAATTTGTGCCTCAGATTCTTACTGACCAGGAAAAAGAGCATCGAGTGGAAACATGCTGTGCTTTGAAAGCACAGCTCCGAAGTGACCCAGACTTTTTTCCCCAAGCTCATCCTGAAAGCAAACATCAATCAAGCCAATGGAAGATGAGATCATTACCTTGCCTCAAAAAAGCTTAAGTGAAATCAAAGATCAAGACAATGCTCATTTGTTTTTTTGATGTGAGGGGGATAGTGCATTTGATGTTTGTTCCACCAGGTCAAACTGTTAATCAAGCTTTCTATTTAGAAGTTCTAAAAAGATTGCTTATAACAGTGTGTGACCAAAAAGGCCTGATTTGTGGCAAATGAGGGACTGGTTTTGCCACCATAACAATGCACCAGCTCATGCAGCCATCTCAGTGCTCCAGTTTTTGGTAAAAAAAACCCAGCATATCTCTCTTGCCCAATGCACCTTACTCACCTGACCTGACCTCCATGCGACTTCTTTTTGTTTTCTCAAATGAAGAGGGACATGAAAGGACAGCAATTTGACAACATAGAAGAGGTGAAGAAAAAAATGAAGGAGGTGCTGTCA